AGTACACGGATAACCACGCTGTGTAAAAAATGTAGTCATGTCCCGAGATTTAACCAGGAAGTCATCGTCGTCGGAGCAAAGTCGACGCAGGCGGAGGAACTGGCTGTAAGGGATAGGGATTTTTGAATCCGCAACTTTTTCTTTCCGGATACGGCTTCCGTCCACACGCATCCGGCGAATTCGGCAGCCAATCCGGATATTTTTGAATCTGCTCTCCAGAGTGGAAAAAATAAATCCACAACGAATCCGATAACGTGTGGACGCTGAATCCGGATATTTTCGAATCCGATGACGTAGCAAAATCGTGTCCAGTCTCTTACCGAGCAATAAACCAATATGGCGGCACAACGTGTAGGCCTAATTTCTCTAGAGTGAATCCGGATACCATCGGCTGCGCGTGGACAGGCGAATTCGATTTGAATACGCTACGTGTGGACGGGGAATTTTTGAGTCCGGAAAGAAAAAGTTGCGGATTCAAAAATGTCCGGATACGTGTGGGCGTTGCCTTATTCTTAAGTCATAACCTACGTATAGTTGTCGACTATTTCCTTTGGTTTCAAGTGGAAAAGGCAAAGCAGATGTTTTTACACAACATTTGTATGTCACTGCTATCTTTTTCGTCATTATTATTCTTACGAAAGCTTATACTTAAATTGCTAGTGAAGGCAAGCTTTATTCCATCCCCGTGATTGATTATGTAGATGAAATGTTGTGTCACTTTCAACCAAAATTAACGGTAATAATTCGTTCGTGGGACATAGACATAAAATACTGAACGAAAATTAAAAGGAAAAATATATATCTTCTTATTTACTCCACAAATTTCTCAATCGAAATGTAGAGCCTACTCATAAATGATTGCCGATTCTAAGTTATTTTGTAAGTATTAACATTAGCCTTACTAACCACGTTCTTGAGTTGATAATTCAAAGGAATTTTTACTCTCAAACGAGTTTAGTGAGGCTAATTTAAATACAAACCTGGTGGAAAATAGCTGCTCTTTTTGCGGCACAAACAGTACTTCAGCAAGCCAGCACCCAGGGCTATTCCTACCAGGATTCCAGCCGCCATAGACACGTACGCTGTGACGGTAATATTATCTGGTAAGAAAGGATCATATATTTCAGATCGATTTCTTTCAATGCGTTCTCTGCAATACTGATCTAAAATACAAAGTTCTACAGGGTAATTCATAAGTCCACTGGTTGATACTCCAAGGGTTTAGTATGGGAGAGATTTTACGTCTAATGATAGGACCACTGATTTTATTTTGGGGATTATCCTCATATGGAAAAGGGGGTAGGGGGGAGAAAAGCAACTATGGAAACAGTCCAATGAACGAGAAAACAGCTGGGGGAGGGAGGATGGAATATTCTGACCGAAATTTGCCGTTCCATTTTGACAAACCGGTTCATTTCCCTAATTCTTGTAGGCAATCCGGAAAAGGAATAAAAAATGGTAAAAGCCACTCCATTTGGTTGGACCGGTTTAATCGAAAAATGTCGTTCCATTTTCCTAGGGAATTCCCACTGGTTTCTGACCGGTCACTCTGGCATAATGGAAAGCACCCAAATATACGCTTACAATCGTGGGTTTTTGTCTTGTTTATTGTTCGAGAATTTTCGCGCCAAATTTTACATGAAATTATAAATTGACGCTGAAATTTCGCGCCAAAATTAAGGAGTGAATTTGTCACCCATGATATTACATTGTATAAACTCATCGCACAGTGTTTTAGACAACAGCGAATCTCTCATGAAAAGTACCGCTTGTGTCGACCTTTTGTTTCCATGCCGGTAGACTACGGACGAGCGCCAAAGACAGAAACGGGTGTACTGCTCTCCAGTAATCGAACGCCTACAAATCTTAAAATCAACCTGCGACAATTACGGTCCACCTAACGACATTTACATTCAGCATGTGGCGTCTTACCCATGAACCGAGCAATTAATTTTACCCACCTACGTAAATGGGAGATTCCCGATCTAGATGTATTACACATGGTTCAGATATTTAAATTACAATTTTTCCTCAAAGTGTGTTTCCGGTCACCTTTTAACTTTTATGACAAAGCCTAACTACTTCTGTACATACCCTCTGTCGGCTCCATGGTGTACCGTGGTGGTGTCATTAGCCCTGAAAAATAAGACAATATATCAGCAGCACATTTCGACGATTGCATAAGTATTGATATTTGAAACATGTTTCACCATCCAAATAGTACGTCTATAGACCGATTTAGGGCATATATGAAAGACCGCATATATGTAAATCACAGTCGAAATATAAGATGAATGAAATCACTCTTTCCAGTCTGTAAGTCATGGCTTTTTTGCCTGAAAAACGTCAAAGCTGCAACGAAATTCAAAGCCATGGCCTCCGTGATACTGGTGCGTTGATCTACCAAATCAGTTGTGAAGAAGAAGACAGAAACCTCTAAAACGGAGAGGCTTTATGCACAATGTGGACAGGATAAACGACAGAAACAAGTCTCAAGCACAACACTTTTCCGTCTAAGACTTGTGCACAACGAAGGCTGCTATTCTCGGACTGAAAAACTTAAAGTGTGAGGTTTATAAAATACTTTAACCGAGAGCTTTTAGCCTTTCAATTGTTTCTGGGGTAATTCTTTTTCTACTGAATTATCTTGCATAAACATGAAAGACATTTCTTGCCCATTGACAAGGTACAACGGTTGCATTTCTCGGACACTCATTGGCTAACTTTGTATATCTCGGTTTAAGAGCATGGCAAACAATCAAGGTCATAAATAAGTCACTATCCTTCACTTGCTTCTGTTAATGAACTTCGTCAAAGCATTGTCAAACAGTTGTTGTATCTTATCACTAAACAAGACAACCACTACTTACTCACCGAGGTACTTCGGTTTATCGTTGCTGTATCGAGTTAATTCCGCCTCGCCGTGATCGATAGTTGAATTCACGGACTCTGGAAGAGCGAATACCTAAGAGAATACACATGAACTCACGTCAAGGATTAATTAATTATTTAATTAATCAGATCAAGTTAAAGATTTTAACCGAGATGTATAAGGTCATGCAGTTAGTTAAAAGAGGACGACTTAGACCAACCTCGTTCCCAGGGTCCTCTCTCTACCTTGAGAAAGTACCCTGGTTGTGGCTGGTCACGGGTCTGCTAGATTTTAACAGATTCCAGAGATGTGATTGAAGGGAGGGGTTGGAAAGTTAAAGTTTGTCTCAGCATTGAGCTTGCCTACTGAGCCCAGTAGGGAGTGGAATTTGTAACCCTTCCGTTGTGGATCGGCAAAAATCATCGCGAAGGCATAGGAGTTCAATGCGTCGAATGTTCGACTAAAAGGCTAGCTCTGCATTTACCTGAATTTTCCCCGTCGATAGCTGGACGGTGTTTAAAATTTGTGGCAGTGAAAAATTTGGCAAAGAACTTGGGAATGACGACCACCACAATAAATGGACCGCGCGGTGAATTTAATTTAATTTTTCATTCGGCAAAATCACAACGAAGGTATTTACTCTCTTAGAGTTAAATACGTCGTATGTTCGTCTACAAAGGTAGTTTTGAATTTGATTGAATTACTCTCATCGACAGTTGACGGTCATTCCATTCTCTTGCGGCGAAAAACATTTTACGAAGAACTTGACATGAACATGCAACGTCTGCGCGCTGAATATTAAAGGGGTAACCCGAAAAAAACTGACCCCCGGTCCGCGGACTCCCACTACGGAACGGGTCCGCGGACTACCTATGGACCGGTCCACTGACTCCCCCTACGGACCCTGTCTACGGAACACCCCCCAAATTATTATAAAAATAATAGATAAATATTTCAGTTACGGGTTGTCTAATAGATTACTCGTGACGGCGAAATTTCGAACGTTACATTGTACAAATGGGTAGACCTGGATTCAGGCTCGGGTGCAATTTATATAATTACACATTGCCATTTCCTTTGCTGTGGCCATAAAGTAGACGAAAGACGCGTACGGGGAAGCTTCCGGGAAGCCTCGAAATTTGTGTTCTTTCCCCTCTGCCATTTTGTTCAGCCCATCCTCCCGTGGGTTCGTGAACTCGTTCCAGGTTTCACAATTTACCCAGCGGAATAACAGATACAAACAAGAATAAACGGCCTAAAAATATATTAGACAACCCATAAGTGAAATCTTTATTTATTACTTTTACACTATTTTAGGGTGGTCCGTAGAGGGTGTCCGTAGGGGTTGTCCATGGTAGTAAAAAGAGCTAAGGCTGGTGTTGCTTGCTCTCTCGATGTTGTAAATTTATTTGTTTTATTTATTTATCACTTACCTTTAAATGGATGATCTCGGCGTTCTTTGTAGAGCTGATGTTCACACTGGTTTGGTTCTAGACCAGAACAACAGAACAATTTTGACTTTCTATCAAGAATTCATCCCTGCACATGCAACCAAAATCACACCCCAACGATGCGTAGGGAAGGGGTGGGGGTGTTTGGTGAACCTCCCATGAGTCTTCGCTGTAAGAGACAGAGCCATCATGAAACTAAAACTGGCTGGGATCGCTTTGGAACAGACCCAAAACGCCACGGAAACACAAGTAACTACGAAGAGTCGAAGGGAGTCATTTCAGTGAAGTTTATATGAAATAATTCATATATGAACTCCTCACGGGAAGATATGAACTCAATTAATTGACCTCGCTCCCAATGTGTGGCTTCATAGCTCAGTTGGTAGAGCATCGCACCGGTATCGCGGAGGTCACGGGTTCGAATCCCATTGAAGCCCTGATTTTTTCAGGCTTCTTCTTTCCAATTGCTTAAATCGGAAAATTAACTGCGATGATCATTCTTCACTCGGAGTCATTTTTATTGAACTCCTTTTCCATATTTCGAACCGTTTTATATGACCGTTACATTTCCATACAAACCCTAATATTTATGCTGTTACGTCAATGAGTGTCATATATTAATACGTTCACGGCTCCCAAGGAGTTGGGACACCTGTGGTATAAATGGAGACCAACGGATGTCAGTAATGCCCAGGGGTAACCCTGCGATGGACTAACATCCCCGTAAGGGCGGGAACGTCTATTTCTGGTCGCTTTATACTGCGACAAAAACTGGGATAACTCTGACGGTATGGACTACTTGAACCCACTCAGAATTTACCTTACCTTTGAAATAATTTGACAGTGAACTCGGTTATCTTCTGCCGAACTACCAGTGAAATAAAGAATGTAATAGCCAATCCAAAGAAGCGAAGATCCTGACAAAAAATTGATATGAAATATATAAAGGCCAGTCATTCAGAAGAAATGTTAGTAATGTGCTATTATTGAAGATTTCCAACTAAAATGGAATAAGTTATTGTAATACGATATGAATCAATCTGCTATAAAAAAAAAATTATTATGTAGACGAAGAAAAAAGGGGGGAAACACGGTCGGATCTAGTGGGAGGATGCACCCCCCTGAGATAAAGTCTTCTCCTTCGCATTCGCTTTTAAAATTTGTTTACCTCACTAGTTACACCATTCCTTAGTGGTGCACCCCTCCTAAGAAAAATCCTAAATCCGCCCTTAGGAGGGAAGGACAAGGGGGAGCCAGAGGAGGGAAGAAAGAGGAGACGCGTGTGAGTACTGTAAGTAGTGTAAGTAGCAGTGTTGATAACGTAAGAAGTGTAAGTAGACGTACTGTATTCTAAGTAGTGTAAGAACGGAACTTTGGAGGACAAGATACTGGCGTTATGCCATATTCGTATTCTCGGTATGGGACTGGAACTAGCTTGCAATTGAGGCTCATGCGAGGGAATATCATTAAAAATACATTAATTTACATTTGAAAAAACTCACCGCATTAGCCTCATTAGCAAGCTACTTCCAGTCCACTACCGAGGATACGAATTGTTTTATCGCACGAGGATATTCTTTTTTCATAACTACATTTTTATTAGTACCGTTGTAAGGACTCCAGGAGACCTCTGCAAACCACTCAGGATTGTTTCCACTCCTATGAAAGGCGACTGTTGTATTTTTGACCTCCCAGTCAGGAAGGACACGATTGAAGCGACACTCTGTGGATTGAAGAAACAACACAGAACTATTTTGTGTGTTGCAGGAAACTATCTTCTCAAACTCATCAATAATTCATCAAAGTTAAACAAAGAAAATCATGACCGTGATGGTGTTTAGATATCTGATCTTAATAGACCAATTTCGATATATTAATATTCAGCCTGAAACAATAGACCTCAGCACGAGGTTCCGGGGAATAATTGCAGAGTTTGTGGGGTTTATTCCCCGGAGCCTCGTGCTGAGGGCTATTGTTTCAGGCTGAATTTTAGTAGATCGAAATTGGTCTATTAGCATAGATTTTTACGATTTTATTTCTCCGTTTTCTCCTTAGTTTTGGTTTCGATTGAGAAGATATATTAAACACTCAAGACAGTGTTTGACCACATTTCCAAACACCTCGAAGTTCGTCAAAAATACTCCGCTGCTCGTCGTATTTTCAACTCTCTTCTCGGTGTTTGGAAATGCGGTCAAACACAGTCTTTCGTGTTTGAAAAATTACTTCAAAAAAGCTTCTTGAAATATTTAAAAGAAGAGAGATAGTGTTTCATCACATTTCCAAACACCGTCAAGTGAGTTGAACAATAAATGACGCCGGCGGCAACGTTTTTCAACGAAATTGAACGAAATTAGAAAGTTGATGAAATTCCACGTCGATTTTGGGTAGGGAACTGGAACTGTGAGCACGTGCAGAGAAACCTTTGTTACCCAGGCCCTACGTGAACGTCTGGACCAAAATGAAGCATTGGCTTACTGAATAACCCTTGATGTTGCTCCTATTCTAAGATTTAACAACTCTTACGTTTTGCCTGTTTGAGGACATCTCGACGAGACCTTAGATGGCGAGGAGAGACATTAGAGAGGACTCCTACAAAAAAAGAAATATTTCAAAAGTCAATCTTAAAGGAGCTCAGTCACAGTTTGCGCATATTGAAAGGTTTAGCCTCAATTTTTTAAATTCGTCGCTTGTAATCCGTGTCAATCTTCTCCATCCTTAGCCATCCTTGTTTCTTTATGGTTTATCATTATCTCTTTGGTGTTTTTCTATCTTATTAAACTGTTATTTTCAGGTTTCCTACCATTTAAAGGTAATTTTGTATGTGGCCAAAATAACTCAAAATACCGTGACTGAGCTCCTTTAACAATCAAATTGCAAATTTAAAAAAATTAATCTGTTCACATATTACTTTCAAAATGGCAAGGAAGTTAAACCGGCCATTTCCGGATGGAAACAGTTTCTAGAGTACTTTCTAACAGTTACTCTTTGTGACGATAGAATATTGGTATTACACGAATGTCACATCATTACTGAACAAGTGACATAATAGGTTACCACTGCAACCGCACGTCCTAGTAATAACACCTTTCATTTTAGCTTTAAAGATGATTTCCAGTCCGTACTGCGCACTCTCAAGAGTTTGTTTACGTGTTTTGTTTTGACTCATGTAAGACGTCACAAAATGTAACATTTCGCAGCTATCTACATGAAATCCATTCAAAGTTTCATGTCAACCGCCATTATGGATGCGAAGCTTTATGCTTCGTTCTTTCTGATATTACTAGATGAAACAGCTTCGTAGCTGTAAAAATCAAAGAAAACTGTTGGGAAAAGAATTTAGAATGCCTCAAAGATAAGGCAAGCGGTTCGTAACGAATAACATCGATTCGCATTCTATCCTAATTGGGGTGCTGAGACTGCGCAGTACGGACTGGAAATCATCTTTAAGTGCTTATTTCTTAAAACAAACGGCTTTGTAACATAAACGTTTTATTGTAAAATTGTTATTAGTGTGGTATTAGTTTGCAGAGTTTTAAAAAAATATTTTGCAGCTTTTTTCTATGTGACAGAAAAAACGTTTTGTTAACCCAATTTTTTTTCCTGGTTGGTCTTTCAGATAAATAAAGCTTTCTTTATCATTATTCCTGACCTGCTTTGCTGTTAAAAGTACACATTTCTTCACAAGAAGCAGAAGGAGATGCCTATAAAGACAAACCAACAAACAACCGAATCAGCAAATTCAAATCAATCTTGAGGGTTCTAACAACTACTGAATTAAAACACAAACTCGAGGTCATTTCTGTAGGCGTCAGACAAAATTCCTTGTTTTCGTGCCGTTTACACAATCTATTTGACCTTAATTAGAAGGGGGTAACATCACCGCTATAAATACGTTTAACAGTTCGACCTCTGCCCGCATCAATGGCATGAAGAACATCATCAAGATTTTTCTACTACTTTCCCATGACTACATGAGTTATTTCTTTCCCAGTCCTCAATCCAACGTCGTCTGACTCACTTTGGGCATAGTTTAAAGGGGGAAATAGTTATGAAGTACTGAATCTGTTTTTGTTCGCTCTATTTTGCCTTGGACCGTGCGCAAATCACAATCTGCTGGCAGCTAACCAGTAGAAACGTTTCGGTTACGTAATCATGGCTCAGTGCATGAGCACAAAACAAAAGATTGTGCGCGGCCGTGGACCTCCCTACAAAAATCCTGCTTCCTTTGTTTACGCCATTGAAGTTTTCCGGGCTAACAAACCACTCCCCTCTATTTACTATCATTTTGGTTAGTGTGCTGTAGATAAAAGTTAATCGGACTGGTGCTGTTGATCAAAATCAAAATAATGTTTAGTAATGTTTCTTTGGTTTCGACAAGGCAAAATTTCGCAGAAATCTATTCATTCTGGCAAATTGTGACGTGGCCAAATTATTAACTATCGAGCGGAGAGATAGTTATGGTCACATTTTCCATCCTAGTTAAGATTTCGTGCCGTGAATAACGCAGAATCTCTCTTCTCGCCTGAAAAACGTGCGACAACATGACTTCTTGAACCCAACAGCCTTCCTACGTGCAGTGTAATCAATAGCTCTGTATACCTGAAGTGTTTGAGTCGGATTTCTTCCAACTAAACCTTTGCGGGAAGCATTTTTCAAATTAAATGAAAATAATTTTGTTAAAATATACTTATAGTTTTAGTCAATTCTTTGAAACCCAACCTACAGGTAGGGCCGTAGCCGGAAAAACATTATGACTGAGGCAATGTCCATGAAAAAAATTATGACTGAGGCAAGGTCCATGGTTCAATTCTCTTCCTAGGTATTTAGGGGGTTTATGATGGCTACTACTAACAAAAATGAAACAGAATTGCTGAAGCAAGTGCTTCGGTTTGCCTGTTATTAGCTAAGGCCCTGGCATAACGTGTTCTGTTTTGCGCGTAGCCACAAGTCACGTGTAGTTACTATCATTACCGGGTTCCAAATTAGATTGAAATACCATCGACATGTTCTAAAGCTACAATGCAACTTGCTCAACACGATGGAAACGTCAATACGGCTGGGTTAGTTTGATCTTCGATGTATTCCATCGTCCGCCTCTATGTTTGTTATCGATTATTACAAAACATCGCAGACACTGCAATATTCATTGCACGAGTGCTTTCGGCCACGCACGAGTTCGCGAAACGGATGCTTACAACGCTTGACGAGAGAGACATGCAAACGGAAACCAAAATCTTGGGTAGTTAGGCAGAGCGGCCAAGCTTAGGTTGGTTAGGGATGTTTTGATGTTAAACTGCAAAAAGAGATAGACTTTCTCGAAATCAAAACGTAAGTGAGCTGCGTGTAAAACACTCGATATGGCTAACGTAATTATTGCTTCCGCAAGCCGAACTTAGGTTTCGGTCTGTAAATTGGCTATGAACGGAAGCATTTCAAAATAAAGAGACTAGCTGAAAGTACTTTTAGTTTAATCGACAAGTTTTTTATGCTGTTATATTGGCTTAAACTCTTATTTTTCGTTTGCGCGCCGAAGAAGCAAATTTATGTGGATCCAAAAAAATGTTGCCAGCTGTCACGCGCACCGATCAGATCTTTGCATGTAGTAGACTGAGAAGTGATTAAAAAAAACATGCCTATTGTTTGCGCGGTTCTGGCTACAATGACTCGAGCAAACCGGGCTAGATATTTTCCCTTAAAACTTGTCATTTACCGGTTGGTACATGAGGAGAAATTTCTCGGCTCACCTCGCTATCCTGGGATGACAATCGAAGCACACGTTCCGAGCACAGACACAGTCGGCGGCCTCTTGTGGACACTTCCTTTGATCGCTCTGTCCCTGAAGTCAGTAGCATCGATATCGCTAGAAGTACTAGCAGCACTCTAAAGGCCATGTCGACGTAATATTGAAAATCAGTCAAATTTTGAGGCAGAAAGCGATGAACCATCGACAGACTCAGACCTGAAACAAAATGTCAGACTCACGGGTGCTTGATAATCTTCAGTCAGCAGTCATGATCAGGGCAAGAACGCTTCGGAAATAGTTCAGATATCTACGTCCACAGATAGTTTCTTCGGGAGTTGATGACTGAATACAATGATTCGGAAGCTATCAAACAAATAAAAAGAGGTCGCTCTGGCTCAAAATTTTAAATCAGTACTTCCATGTGATTTCCTCGAGATGGCACGTCGGTGGCGACCTACGTCATATCCAAGAAAACCAAAAGTAAGGCCCTTGCCAAAAAGCCTCGACAGTTAGTACTACTTGTGTTAATCCACAGAAGACAAGGTTTGTTTTCCACCAGATTGTAAGTTAAGAGTTTCTCCGTTGCTTTCCGCTTTCACAAGTTTATGCCTGTATGCCTGTGTGCCTGTGAATTTTGCCTGTGTACATTGACAGCAGTAAATGGAAAATCATTCGATGTGTCACGAACAGGCTCCTTCGAGTCCTGGATATGCGATATGCGGAAGCATATCGAACAACAATGCATTCCTGACTATCAAATAATCTTTCAGGCAACCAATAACACGTAGAGTATATTGGAACTTAAATGTGAGTGATTGACGGGAATAGTCCAGTATTGAAGAGGGATTTGAGCCAGTTCAATTTACTCGATCACCCCACAAGATAAGCCAAAATGACATTGGAAACACTCACTCGCTAAAATTTTTGAATTCTTAAAAACTTGTAGGGCCTCTTTGAACTTGAGCGTCTATCACGGCCGCTGGTCCGACCACTTTTCCTGCATTGAGCAGTTTTGACAGGTCCTAAGAAACGGAACAACTGTCATTTTTTTCGTGATTATCCGGGCCGTAAATGTCGGTCTAATTATTTGTTTGCTTCAAGCCACAATCACTTGGACTTTCTTGTTCAGTAATTTTATCACATTGAACATTGGACAGACCATGTGGGTTCGACCCACATGGAAATGGAAATGATTATGTTTCGAAACATTCAAGAAACAATAGATGTACAGTATCGATCAGTATACAGCAAGGCTGTTTATGGTAATTTTCTTTTAAGCTCTAAACAAATTCTTTGTGCTGTCAAGGGTCAGTCTGTTTATACGGGGCATAGATGTACAGTAACACAAGGCACTGGATGGGGTTTAATAGTTGCAGTCACTACGTATGCCTCAGCAGCCAGGAACGGTCGAAGTGTCGAAATTCAGTAACAATTTCCGACTGCAGGTCGTTTGGTCCACTTGAGACCGTACAGATATTAACTTGGCGATTTTATCACCAAACTCCGAGGAATCGTCTACTGCAAAACCAAAGTAATACTCCGAGTCATTTGGCATTTTGTAAATCAACATAGAAGGGGTTAATTGTAAATCCTTAGTAAGACTTTCCGCCGAAATTCTTTGATAATTTCTGACTGAGTCGAGAACATGGCGATTTTATGGTCTTTTAATATAGTATGCCCAAACTATGGAAATTCGTCAACTAGCGAACGAAAGGGCGAAATAGCGAAATGATGAAATGTCACTACGGTTAGCCTAAATATCACTGATAGCTTTCAATAATTGTATGGGCCAACATTGTTAATTGATGTCTCATGATTTTTGGAAGCCCTTGACATTTCCAAACAAGCGTGGAATACTCTCGAGAGGTAATCACAAGGTCTCCCAAGCTCCTTGAGCTTCCTTGGGGGCCTGCGAACAGGCTCCCCGTGAGCCCTTATCCCTCCCCGATCGCTTCGCTCACCGAATTCTTCTGTTTCGCGCTCGCCAAAATTTTTTTCCCTCCTCGCCGGGAGCCTGTTCGCAGGCTAAAGGGACCCGAGTCGGACAACCCGCGAATAGGCATGGGAGGACCCATTTCTTAAAACCTGGAAGTGTACCTTAACATAGATGCAGCCAAGCCTAAAAGTGAAGTTCCTAATTACACCGAGTTAAACTGTCCTGAGCCTGCCATCTAACCAGAAACCAGAACCTGGACAGCGGTCAACATGAACTCAATGGGCTCTAAGCTTGAGCCCACGATATGGTCACCTTATACTAGGCGTATTCAGAAAAAAGAATTCCGGGCATATAGAATTCATGGTGGGACACATTTAGTCGCCTTCCCCTTTACCCCTGAAATGCTAACCGGAAGCAAACAGCGGTAAATAAATGTTAACCGCAAGCAAACACAGTGTATAGATGCTAACCGCAAGCAAACGGCAGTAAATAAAAGCAAACTATATATGTGTCCTACCATGAATTATATCCCGAATTCCGAGTTTAGATGCTCTGGAGAGTTCTGAGGACTCGTCATGGGAGCTGAGACCTCAAATTGTCGCAGCCGTGGTATCAAAATGAGCTGGGGTAGTTGTCAAAGATGGGACAGGCAAGGCAAAATCACTGGCAAAATAATCTTTTCTCTATTCTTAATACTACAGAAAGCCGTGAAATTCAACCAAATAAGTCAATTTCGTCACAAGAGTGATCAATATACATTGGAGCTTTATTTCACTACAAAATTCTATCATTAATTTCGGTACACGAAATCATCTTTTCTCTATAATACTATACACAACTGTGAAGTTCATCCAACTGAAAGAAGTCATTTTCATCACACATGCAACGGACTAGATCAACATTGTGATGTGATCTCTTGACTTTTTGCGAACATTAATTTATCTACTGTCCGATTTTCCCATACAATGAAACTGAAACGAGAGACAAAATTCCTGCCACTAAAAGGGTTATGATAGAGCCACAGAAATTCCTCACTTCTGATTTATCCAGAGAAGTACCAATTATGTGAAATCAAAGTGCACAATGCAAATTGAAAATAATTTTAGAACATTACCTACAAGGTTACACAATATTTACAAAGATTTTCGAGAACTCTCGAAGAATTTTGAAATAAACAGGGTGATGTAACTGTTAGAGTGCAGCCTTAAATCGCTGTTACCCTTTTTACACCAGAATTTCTTACACAGACTGCCTAGGAGCCTTATGGCCCAACAGGCCGCTGCTATTTCTACACCCCACCCCCCCCTCCCACCCCATGTTAGTCCATTGCACGGTTCCACCGGACCACCACCCCCCCCCCCTTGCTCCCACCCCAGCATCAAATTCGCCGGTGCTTGTTTAAACACACGGGTGGAGAGGCACTGCGAGGTAAGGTGCCTCGCCCAAGAACACAACACGATGACCCTGGCTAAGAGGTTCTTTGCTTATTCACCTCAATTACTCCAAGTAAGGATACCCGGAGGGAACAAATTTTCCACCTATTCACTCTGCGCTCAAAATGACCGCATACTACCATGGAATATTCCCGTCCAGCATTCCCACTTGGTCAATAAGTACCTATCATACAACCTCGGCATAATAAAAATAACGCGTCATCTGAAGCTGTCCACAAAAATAAATAAAAATATAGAACTAAATTACAGAACTAAATATAGAACTAAATTTCCATTCTTCGATGTTGTTAAAAATCGTCTCCCACACCCGATGGGCAATTGAAGTTTCCTGAGAAAAAACTTTGACGACTTTGAAATTACAGAAGTGCTGTAAGCGATGCCATTTTGGAGGGCTAGTGACAATGGCTACTGGGCTAGTACATCACAGTTACAACAAGCCCAAGGGGCAAGCCCAAAAACTGGTTTTCCGTTTGCATCCTAAAGTAGCCCGCAAGGGGTGCGCAAGCACAGCTTTCCTTTCTTTCATATCCTTTGCATTGCTACAATCTGAGAGAAACTTCTTCACTATCGACAACTGAGCTTAACAAATACAGTGTTTTGAAAGGAAATGAAACTTAAATACAATAACACACCTAAGAATTACCTCCCATTAAAAAATAACTGTCTATACATATTTCTTACGTGCTGGTAACACATTGTTTAAGTATTTTTTCCATTAATAAACGCTACGAGGGTTGGATGATGGGTCTGCCGTTTAAACGTTTGAAAATGTTCATCTTGTCCTCGGGCCATTTGTATGTAATTTGTGCCCACGGCGGGAGATCCTTTGGGTCGACGCGTGTATTTGGCAGAATAATGCAAACCATTTTACGCAGTGAGCGTGTCTGTGTGTACTCTCTTCGAATCAAGTCGAGTTCGACCCAGCGGATTTCGTGTTCCTGTGGAGTAAACATGTCATTAGAAATTTCACTGTTTTCTTGCTATGGAATTACTGCGTGTTAAACACCGAATTAACCGTATAAAAACGAACTCTCGAAGCCTTCGGGGAGACAAGTGAAAAATTTTGTCGAAGAGTTTCATTTCCATAAAGCCTGGTTTTCACTACGACGTGAGCACAATCACAAGCATAACTGATAAACATATCAAAAGGTAGCGAGAACGCCCACAGCACAAGCATGTAGAAAACTGTTTGATTTCTTTTTTTCTTCTTGTGCTTGTGCTTATGCTTATGTCAAGCGAGAACGCGCAGCTGTAAGCATCAGCACACGCATAAGTGAAAGTCCGCCATCTTGTTTTACTGTATCGAGGAGGTATAGAACCGAAAACACATACCTACAAATGCTTGTGTTGTGGGCGTCCTCACATTTTATAATAATATAATTTTCATGTAAATCAAACTCATTTTCATAGGCAAAGTTTCGCACAAGGACTCGATTTGAAATCGAAGCAAAGGCTACTCGGAAATGCCTATTTTTGAAAACGTCACGTGTCTTAGTAACATGACGTCATGTTGTTTAGTAACAGGCACGCAAACGTGACGTCACTTTGGATGGGTATAACGTGGTAGAAAATAAGGAAATATCGGATTGATCTTTACACTGTACCTGGTGAGAGAATTGCACTCCTTCGAGGTCGCTTGCACACAATCGCAGAAGTTCTGGCGACAGAAAGACCAGTACATTGAGTGCATTCTTAATTTGCTGCTCCGCCCAACGAGTTGGTCCAAGATCGAGTCGCTCGTTAGCATTCATCACGTCCATTTCCACTTTGTAACCATTTTCTCGGAAGCAGTTCACGACATTGGCCACTTCAAGTTGGTACGAGGGACTTTCCGGATAATAACACGCGTAATAGATTTCAGGACCTACAAAAAAAACAATCAAATTTAAAGGAACTTAGTCACGGTATTTAAAGTTGTTTTGACCACGTGCAAAATTGAAGGAAACCTGAAAATAATAGTTCACTGAGATGGAAAAACACCAAAGAGATAATAATAAACCATAAAAGAACAAGGATGGTTAAGGAAGAAGAAGATTGACACGGATTCGTTTATTGCTTTGACAGCCATTCTGTTCACAATGGTCGGCCCTCTCGTAAAATACCCTGGTCAGCGGAATTACATCCAAACATTGTTTCCGACCTATCGACCGATCGACCGACCGACCGAGCGAGTGAATTCTTTCTTCCCCAACTGACTGTTATAACTCATTCTAGCTACGCTACGCTAGCTATCATTGGTTAAAAAACCCTAAAGGGACAAGGATGGTTGAAAATGGAGAAAATATACACGGATTACAAACGACGACTGACTTGAAAAATCTAGGCGAAACTGTTCAAGACGCGCAAAGCGTGATGTAGCCCCTTTAAGTGCCTGGGGAAAAAATGACGCAAATAACACTCAAACGTTACTGGTATCAATAGAAATAAAAATTCAGACATCAAACCTGACTTTTTCTCCGGTTCTGCTATACCTGAAAGACAAAAGCAAAATGATCCAATTCATTAAAACACGCTTAACAGCTTGTAATCCTCCAATTCTCCAAAGTTAAAAACAACTCGATATCAGGTTACTGAAAAGACAAGGAACACCATCCCTACCTGGCCGATTATTTGGTTCAACTGCAAAGATGGGAAACAAAGCTAAATTATCAAATATGTTAAAAACAGAAGAGAATTAAAGGAGTTCAATCACGGTATTTTGAGTTGTTTGGACCACGTGCAAAACTACCTTCAAATTGAACAAACCTAGAATAATAGTTTATTAGGATAGCAAAACACCAAAGAGATAATAACAAACAATAAAGTAACAAGGATGGTTTAGGATGGAGAAGATTGACACACTGATTACAAACGACGAACTTGAAAAATTTAGACTAAACTTTCCAAGATGCGCAAACCGAGAGGTCAGCGTAGCTCCTTTCAGGACTGGATTACTGACAAACACGTACATTTAGTCTGTTGGCAATAAAGTTCAGTTTTGAAGCACGTTTGCTCTATAAATTTGATAAATAACGCTAGTGAAATGTTGCACCGTAACAACCAGCCTGATCAAGTTTGATAGTTTTAAGCTTCCCTCAGAGCCTCATAAATTTATAAAGTCTAACTCTCTAATCTTTTCAAAGTTCGTCTTCAAACTTTGCAAAGTTATCGATATTTACGTAAATCACGAGCAGTTTAATTTTCGGTGGTCGCTTTAGGGAGGTTTAACTGTATTTACATAGAATAATCTTCCAAAATGGCCACCCCATAGGTTATTTTTGGACACAGCTCTAAAGCTCTAAAGCCCCTACTGCAAGGCTTGTTCTGGGCGTTAAGCATTAGTATACCAACCTGGAAAACAAGTACGGAAAGGCCTCAGCAAGTTGATTTGTTTCCGATAAAACAAAACTGCAAACACTAGCAGCAAAAAACCAAATGCTGCACCCAAAATGGCGGCTATAAGTTTGGTGGATACGTCTGCGGAGAGAATGTGTCATTACCATGAGATAACACCATCATCATAACAAGTGATAGACACACCCGCAGAAATAACTCGCATCAACGCTATGCAGAGTATAAACAAGTAGGTTATAACTATCTATTACATCAGTTTAGGTAAAAGGCAAAGTCTGCATACGAGCCAAGTGGCCCATCAGGCCGGAGCTTATCCCGGTTTCTGTAGCATGAAGTGACTGGAAATATTTCTACTTCCCCCTGGATGGGATGCTAGTCCATTGCAGGGTTACCCCCAACATTAAGTTCGCCGGTACCCATTTATGAGAGGAAAGTGTCTTGCCCAAGAACACAACACAATGTCCCCGACCAGGGCTTGAACCTGGACCGCTTGATCTGGAAACCAGCACGCCTCTACTTGCATCAGGGTAAACAAGCAAATTTTAGGACAGCAGGGGAACTGGAGTTTCCTTTCTGCTAGGTTTACTTTATTTTCCACATACAAACAATATTCATGTCCAAAAGAAATCTTTCAATTAAGCACAAACAAAAAAAAACTATATGGGATGGCTGCGCGACCTGAAAGGAAAACAGGGTTACAAGGTTTAAACTAGAGGTGTTTATAAACTTTGTGACAGATACAGGTCACTTGTCTACCGACAAAGTGAGTAACACAGGTTTGCTTTTTACCAAAACAAAGAAATGTAAACAATAAGGATATTCTGGTTTAAATTCATGGTTGATTTTACTTCTTACGCTTGGAAACACAATAACATTTTATGAATTTTGTTTCATTTATGAGAGATACAACTGCTTCGTTTTCTATTCCTACAACACAGCCACAAGCACAAGAATGATGCTGGATGCATGCTGACAAGAATAGTCACATTCGTTCTTCTAAAATTGTTTTCACTACAAATCATCATGGTATAATAAGGATAAACTTCAGATTGAATGAACGGGAAAGAACAGTTTTGTTAATAGACTGTGACTATTCTGTTGATTATTGATTGACTGACCTAATTTTTACAGTTTCTGACGTTATCTTGCTTGGGGGCAAACACAGTAAAGATTGTAGTGAATGTATGAGAAAAGTTAAAAGTTTGATACCCAATAAGTTGAAAGTGATTGACTTTCTGAGTATTTTATGAGTTACAAGGAAAGGATACCCAGCAGAAAGTTTTATGGTCAAATTTGAAGAACATAGATTTTCTGCGAAGCAATGGAGGAATTGCTCTTTTAATTTTTCATATAAATCAGTCTCTAAATTTTCCCGTGAAATGCGACTCGCTTTTACAGACAAATGTATGGAAAAAAGACAAATGAAAACCTCAATAATAATAAAAAATCTCTTTTTTTTCGCAAGATGATTCCCAGATCAAGATGGAAGAGAAATCGTTTGTAACCGAGTCAAAGATTCTGGGAAGTCACTACAGTAAAAGGACAATAACTAGGACACCCTCTACGGTCTTACCGCTTGACGTTGGAGGAAACGTTGGTGGAGGCCTCGGCGTGGTACCTGGAAATGAAACAAACAATTCTGTTACTATCATTACACCTACTGTACTATTTTAATAACTTTAAGTTGTTAATCTATTGAAGGTAGTAGGAGGTCTTGTTAATATTGAGATGAAAATGAGGATTCTTATGGGTAAGGAATGTATGCCCGCTGCTTCGTCAGTCTTCTTTTTGGCTGACTTAAGCTCGTTGGCATTAACACTATAACTGTTATCTCCCCCCCCCTCCACCACACCCTAGAGATGCTAATTCCATTGAGGATTCCATACACCTTGGTTGAGAACAACACAGTTAGAGTAACAAATCCTGCCCAGGAACAAAACACAACGACCAGAGGTCTGGGTTCAAAGCCGAAAGTCTCCTACCCTGCTGACCGTCGTTGCTGCTTTCAATGGCTGATGCTATCATTGGTAAACAAGCCCTTCGTAAGGGTCGATGCAATTTCTGCTCTTACTAGTTTAGGCCTGGATAAAGGTCCAAACTGCATTGTGCTTATTATATAATATAACTAGACCTGGATAACACAATTATCATGTCCAACTTTGTAATGGTCGGGTGGGCATTTTTAAGTACTTAAAATTCTCCCAGATTTCGTTAATAAAAGTGATGGTATAATAGTGAAGGACATATGTTTGCATGCCAACATTTCTGAGTACTGACCGACAATTTTGTTGGGAGGGGTCGAAAAAAAGAAGCCTGATGTTGCACAATTTTTAAAGTGATGCAAAATGCAATACCTTGATACTATCTTATCCTTGGATTTTTAACTAATGATGGTTTTTTTGTCAATCAGGAGTATAAAAATCATAAAGCAAAACCAACTGTGATCATCTTGATTTTATCTTCCTACACTACTTTTCTACCCTGCCCTAAATGGAGTTAAGTGAAAAAAGAAAAAAATTACCAAATCGTTTCATGTCGAAGCTATCATATTTCCTATGAGGATACGTGATGATCTGCAAGAAGCCAAAGACACCCAAAGGAAAACAGTGATGTTAACCACGTAATGAGCTCATGAGGTAACATACTTTTCTAAATAATACTGTCAATGAAAGAAGGGTCAAGTCTGCATATGAGACAAGTGGCCCAGCCATCAGGCTGGCACTTATCTTCAGTTTCAGCAGCTAGCATGAAGTGACTTGGGGTATTTCTACGTCTATCTGGATGGGATGCTTGTCCAATCGCAGGGTTGCCCCCAGCATTCAATTTGCTGGAAACCTATTTGTACACCTGCAGGGTCAGTAAAGGGGCAAGTTGTGAGAGTGAAAGTGTCTTGCTACCTGGTCTACATGTATCTCTTGGTAACTACTTCATTCTGAGGTTTGATATGAATACATACCCCAACCCAGATCCCATCAGGATAGTTCCAACCACTGCCATTCTGTAAAATCCACTCATGTTGATCCTTAACACAAACAAAACACAAGCATTGTTACCCATCATGGCATAGAAACAGCTTTGTTCAAAGAACCAAGTATATGAAACAATTACAATCAAACCAATGCAAGTGAAGCATATTTGAACATTGAACCCACCAGTAGTCTTTTTAAGAATGCAATACAGTGGCTTCATTAAGGGCCAGGCACTGGGCAAATTGACTGGTTGTTAGGAAGATTTTGCCCTTCTGGTTTGACTTTCAAGAGGAAAATTTTTTTTATATTAGAAGTTCAGTTCAAATAGTTTTGCCCGCCTGTGAAAACCAGTTGCCCTCCTGTTGAAAATGTTGATGAAACCCTTGGCAATAATCATTTGATTACTTGAATATTGACCTGTTAGTCATTCAAGAATAGGCAGCTAACCAGTTCAGTACCCAAACAATCGATTCATCATTGCATTATTTCTTGACACGATTAGCAGGTTCAATGTTCAAATAATCAATTCATGAAAGTAACTCTTGAGGGGCACACTTCACTTGGGGCGCTTCCCATTCGACCAAAAATTCCGAAATTTTCGAAACGGGGACAAATGGTACGAAAATTTCAAGGGAAAAGTTCCAGAAAATCCGGAAATTGTTGAATTTCTGAAAAGCAAACCATTCAACCGAAAATTCTGGAAATTCTGGGATGAAAACCAAATGGAACGGAAATTACCAGGAAAATATGTTCGAAAATTTCGGTATACCTCACGAGGTTGTCCTCTTTTTCGGAAATTATGCAAATTCTCGATTTCCTATTCAGCGCTAATTCTTTTGGCCGCGATGACAGCGAATTGGACATCTCACGCAAGGATGACGGCGATGCGTATTCGAAAATTGAAATACTTTAGAATCTTTCCACTTATATGTCAATAAATACTAGCTACAGCTAAGTTCGTGAAGAAAACATTTTATAAAAATAATGCCCCTCTGGTGTACTTGTTTGTTTTGCATAGCTTGGCTAAGAAATGTACAAAGATTTATAACGCGTGCAGAACCATTGTACAACTCGTTAAACCCATTGTTTTGAGACATTTTCGTTGCAACTGTTTTGGTTTGTATAAGGTCCATGCTGTTGTGGTCTATAAAAAGTCACGATGTCGACATATCAGTATTCCGTTTGCTTCTATATTTGCAATTTAAACCTCGAAGTCATTGAAAAATTCCAAGCAAACAAAACTGTGTGGCCTGTCATTTTCCACACTGGAAAAGGCTGTACCATTCGCCCATAGAAATTTCTGGAAATTCACACTGGAATTTTTGGTCGAATGGAAAGCGCCCTTGGTTTGACTACAAAAACAGTGATTTTAATCTTAATCACTCATCATTTAAGTCATCATTCTTCGTTTTATGTTTGCATTTAAAAGCATTTTATATGCTTTAAAAAGCACCCATGACATGTAAGTTATCCATTCCATCAGATAACCCAAGTTTGTAATGATCGAAACAATTTCGAAACAATTTCAATACAACATTTTGCACAAAATTAGATACACTGACAGTTGTAACTTGCAACATCTTGCAATATATCAGTATTGGTCAATCAACTGCAAGTCCATTGGAACTTTTAATAGCTGGAAAATTTCCATCAATTTAATTCCACTTGATTAGTCACTGCCCAATCAAATGCAGTCAGCAACAGGGTCAATATGGATGGATTTTATTAAACTTGTATACAGGAAAGGAATCAACTGCCCACACACCTTTGGTATCAGTTTACAATTCATTCTGTCAATGTTAACTGCTTCTCCCATGGAAGAGTAATGTAAGGCATACCTGGTCCAGTTCTTATCTACAAAAAAATACAAGATAAGAGTATTAGGGAGAGTTAAGGCTGCATGGATTAAGCAGTATCATATGGACCATTAGACAGACAGAGGGAAAGGGGTATGCGATACAGACATGTAGGAGGAAGAGGGGGCAGGGGGCCAGGGGTAGGGGGGCAGGGGGGCAGGGGAGCAGGGGGCCAGAACCTGAAAATAAATAGTGAGGGAATTAGTGACTGTGTACATTAGCAGCAGGAAAAATGAGGGCAGGAAGTTGGAAGTTTCCAATGTGAAGGAACAGAGAGAAACAAGGCAGCATACTCTAATTATTATAATACTATCACAGTGCATAATCTGTTGAAAATAGAAAAAGCTAATAGTGTTGGAATTGCACCAGGGCCACTGATTAAGAAAGGGGTGGAAACTGGGAGTAAAGAGGAACTTACGATAATGTCCATGTACATAATGTCAATGATGTAACTAATAATATATATTAAATTAATATTTTACAACTTACTATAATGCACTGGACTCCAAGAGATTGATAAGTTTGGTTTTCTGGCTGAATAATCCACTGTTATAGATGAGGGTATTCGTCCAGGATATTCCACGAAATCCTGTGGCTTGAGGCAGTCTGCATTGAAAAGATACAAAGATAGAGAAAATGTTACATATTACAGTCATAATATATTAGGTAAGGAAGTAGAAGCATAGATACACAGTTCTTGCCAATTTCAGCTGTAGCCAGTGAGCTGCAGCTGGAAGGAAGCACCAAGAAGGATGTGGTCACGGCTGGAAGGGCTGATAAGGAATTGGTCCCAAGTGAAGTCCAAGGGGTGGGGGCTTTCTCCTCACCCCATCCTCAACTAGTTCAGAGCCTGTTAACGGGCTGCTCACCTGGGGTTGTTCACTTAATAAATTTGATGTTTCTTTAAAGCAGTGTTCATTTATCAGTCTGTAAATTATAAATTATTATTTCCATCATTGTTTCTGCAATATATATAGATAAGTCTCCTGCGCAAGTACATGTAGGTAATACAGTGAAAATTAAAATAATTTATTTATTTATCCTTTGTATGCAATGTGCTGAACACAATTTAATTAGCTAGTGAAATTAATATATTATAGTGTAGTTGTAAATATTACGTTACACAAAAAGAGAATTTGTTTGAAGTTAGTAATGTTGGTTGTAAATGTGTAGTTCCAGAAAATATCCAGACCTCCCCCACGGAAGGGAATTTTTCTAACCCCCCCCCCCCTGCCCACCCCTCTAGAAATTCCAATTGAGCTTTATACATTTCTTTAAATTTTTTGGTCTTACAGAACCCCCACCCCCAGGAAATTCCAATCCCTTCTGTGGGGGGAGTATATATGGATACTTTCTGGAACTGAACTAATAGTAAAAAAGTAGGTTACCAAATGAATGAAGCTGTAACATTACTATTTATTTATGTGGAAAGTTTCTCCTTGCCATGGCAAAGCTGTGTTAAAGATATTAGTTAAAATAACTTAGTCACCTACAATATGCTTTAACTTCACCATACCCTTACCATTGTCTTCCTGCTGGTAAGCACTCCGTTGTGACCTTCCTTTGTGACCTTCGCGTATGAAACCTTCTCTTTTATTGCGAACACATGTATGGATGCACATACCCATAGAGATTTCCTAATATAAAATAAAAAAAAAATACTTAACAAATCTATAATTAACTTGATACATTCTCAGATTCCTTAATAGTTCATCAGATTTTGAAAGAAAACAAGCGATAAACTGTGGCGGTATTGCAAATATATTTTTATTGTGAACATAGATTTTCACACAGTCACAAGAATTAATATATAAGAGAATTTAACTGATGAAATTAATTTATTTATGAGAGCTAATTGGATTGTACAGAAGCCAATAAGGGACGATCCCAAAATATTTTTCATTTGTTATCACTGGTCAGATTCCATAGGATCCTCTATACATGTACATGCACATGAATTGTTAAACTCTCAATACAAATATCACTAGCTTGAATTTGAACAAGATTTCAATAACTCATTTGGCAGGGCACAGGAATACGAAATAGTGCCCTCTATCGATCTCCAATTAATTCAATATCATTTTACAACTAGCAGTTACTTAGTACTTAAAGGTAATATGTCTGCCCAAAATCCAATACAATCACATTCATGTTTATTTATTAATTTTGTAAAGTTCTGTGTGATTTAAATTCTTAATTTGGACAGTGTCCAAATGAGCAAGTAATTTGGGTAGTTATGTGTGCTCTGACAGCCACATTGGACTGGGGCTGATGGTTTTGTATAATTTTTGCTGTCTTCAGAATTTGTTTTTGTTCCAATTGTCTGTAGAGGTTGATCCCAAGTGATGGGAAAAGCATCTTGAGAAATTGGAGAAGCATTGCAAACCGAGGGGAAGCACACAAGTTTATGCTAATAATATATACACATTCTGCTATTATGACATACTGCAGTAAGGACCCTCGAACTGTAGACACTTGACATTGTTTTATTAGTACTTTTTTTTTGGCAGTGACTAGAAAATGAAGGCTCTCCAGATATATATACCTGCAATGTCTAAGATAAGCATGTTTACTAAATACCTTATTTACTTATTTTACCTATTACAATTTAGTGGCCAGTGGTAACACAAAACTAAATAAAATACTATACAATTAAAAAAAGGAACAAAAATGCCATAAGGATGGTCAGCAAAAGAGATTTCAATCCTCATGCAAGGCAGACCACCTGATAAGATAGAAGCATCTACAACAACTAAATCAAATATTTGTTGAAGTCAAGCAGTCCCTAGTCTCCTCCGCAGCCGTTTTTTGGGATGTCACGCAACGCTCCCCCCAAAGAAACGGCTGCTCACATCCGAACCACATTCTTTTCCTTTTGTGTTTGTGGTTTGTTTGTGCTCTGTTGAACAGACCAATCACATAATAGCAAAGTGTGAATGACGTAAGCTT